AAAAAAAAAACTAAAAAGAAAAAAAAAAATGAAAAATTGATCAGAGCCGTCAAAAATTGATCGTACGTTTTCTCATGGAACTGAACAGTCGAGCCCTAACTCCATTTTCCCAAATCCATCAGCCGAATCAGCCGCTTTAATGGGCTTCGGCTTCACGCCGCGTTTTATAGGCTCCGGACCCAGCGTTAGATCCAGCTCAATCTCACCGTGTGAGTTCGAATTCGGCCCAGCAACCACCGATTCCGGCTCGAAAGTCTCAAGCGAACCGCGAGTCTCCCCCTGCTGGCTCGTCCGTTCCGCGACCGTCTCGGACTGCTCGCTCAAAGACGACTCGTGACTCGGAGACCGGTTCAATTCCTCCTCGTTCCCGCTGTCGACCGGGTCAACCCATACACGACTCCGTTTCGACTTGGAAGCCGCACGTTTGAACCTGCAACGGGTCCTGACCCGGCGCAGATCGTTAGACCCGGATTGGCCACCCTCCTTGAATATATGCCTTATATCGCCGGCCTTGAGAGGCGCCCCGCTTTTGGGTTCGGCAGAGTCGGCGGCCATTCGGGTTATCGGGTCCCCTTTCAGAACCGCCTCGACGGCGTCCTGGCACAGCTGCCAGTTCCCGGACCAAATCAACCCGACCGACCCGAATATCGGGTTCACGATCCGCCCGCACGCCTCGTACAGTAGAGACTTGAAGATAGCTGTAAGCAAAGATAATAATTGTAACCGTGAGGAGGATGACGCGTTTGGTTAGCGAAGAAAAAAAAAGGGGGGGATAACAAAGAAAACGAGGAAAAAGTGCACTGACCAGGGCGGAGATGATGTGGACCGGCGTTGATGAGGTTCATGAGTCCGGCGCGGCCGTAGAACTTGGCGAGGAAGACGGTGGCGTTGGCCTGTGACTCGGGAGTTTTGATCCATTCCAAACACGGCCTTATGCTGCAGTCTTCGCTGCAACCCTTCCGGAGGACTCTACAGCCATTACAACTCATCCGCATTTTTTGAATATCTGTATGTATCTGTATTGGTAAATTGAATGAGAGAGATGAATATTTGGAGGAAGGATGGCGTGTGGGGGTGTGTATATATAAATATGCAAAAATAAAAGGGGTTGGATGTGTAATAAATAAAAAAATGGGGGAAACAAAAACAATACTAGGGTCGGGGGGGCGGTTGTCTGTGGGAAAGAGCAGACAGTGGTTTTAAGAGAGAACCAGGTTTTGCCATAATTGTGGAATTGGGAGATGTATCTGAATCTTCCCTCTATTCTATTTTTTTTACATTAAACAATCATACCTATTGTTCACCAAATGTCAAACCTTGGAAATATCATCCCCTTTTTAATCAATAAAATAAAAAAAAAATCAAAACAACTCAACTTCCGTCCCGGCGCGTGGGGGCAACTGTCCAACTTGTTTTTACCTCAATCAAATAGATTTTGAATTA